AGCAGCCTCTGGGATAAGTTCAATTGCCCTGGAGGGGTACGAACAAAGGATCCAATTCGGGAAAGTCGTATTCCTGGTCGTAATGACCAGAAAGGGACTTGTGAAGACCAAGAGCCATCAGCAGACCCCGGGGAGAACGAGCAGGCAGAGAGGGAGGTTCCTTGTGGCTCCCAAGAGGAATGTAATGACATGGACCAGTCAGAACAGCAGGCCCCTGCTGGCGTCCTGGAGAGCCCTGAGGCCCGGGACAGCGATGAGGGCAGTGACCCAGTCAGCAGCAGCAGCAGTAGCGTCAGCAGCAGTAGCAGTGAGGAGAGCGGAGCCAGGGAAGAGAAGCAGTGAGGAGAGCGGAGCCAGGGAAGAGAAGCAGTGAGGAGAGCGGAGCCAGGGAAGAGAAGCAGTGAGGAGAGCGGAGCCAGGGAAGAGAAGCAGTGAGGAGAGCGGAGCCAGGGAAGAGAAGCAGTGAGGAGAGCGGAGCCAGGGAAGAGAAGCAGTGAGGAGAGCGGAGCCAGGGAAGAGAAGCAGTGAGGGAGAGCGGAGCCAGGGAAGAGAAGCAGTGAGGAGAGCGGAGCCAGGGAAGAGAAGCAGTGAGGAGAGCGGAGCCAGGGAAGAGAAGCAGGGGAGGAGCCAGGAAGAGAAGCAGTGAGGAGAGCGGAGCCAGGGAAGAGAAGCAGTGAGGAGAGCGGAGCCAGGGAAGAGGGGCGGCAGGTAGCTTAGTGGTTAAGAGCGTTGTGCCAGTAACCGAAAGGTCGCTGGTTCTAATCCCCGAGCCGACTAGGTGAAAAATCTGTCGATGTGCCCTTGAGCAAGGCACTTAACCCTAATTGCTCCTGTAAGTCGCTCTGGATAAGAGCGTCTGCTAAATGACAAAAATGTAAATGTAAGAGAGAGCCCCTGCTCCCTCCAGCAGTACTACTGAGCCACCTGCAGAGGGCGCCATGGAGAGCGGCAGCCTGGACACGGGGACCAGTGAGGAGCCCATGGAGCAGGACTAGGACCTCAGCATCCTGGTCCCCTAGATACTTTACGCCTTGTCTAAATTTTGGGCACTCCTCAAAATGACCACCTGATGTGGGCATACACATTTTTATTTTGAATCAAATATTTTTAAAACTGGATTTCCTTTTTTCTACACTATTTCTGAGTTTCATTTTAAGGCTTGTGGTCTCTAGAGGTTTTTGTTTCAGCCTTGATCAGTCTTTGGAGTTGCAGATGTTTGTTGTAGATGTGCTGATAGGACGGGGTGTTCATCTGGCAATTGTTTTCCCTCATCAGTTTAAGCTTTTGGCAGGAAAGGTAAAGCAGGCAGGTTTGTTCCTGTAGACAGTTTCTCTCTGTGGATTATCACCCCAGCCACACCAGAGTCGAGACAAAAGCTATCCCCGCTAATTCACTTCCTCATTATTTATGCCGTCAGTTAGTCACTCATGAATGAACTAGCTAGAATCATTTCTGTTTCTGACTGAAGCACAAGCCTTAGCATCGGGTGCCAATGACATGGATGTCTATTAAGGCAGCCCCCCCCGTACCTCTCTGAGGGGTGGGGTTAAATGCGGAAGACATTTCAGTTGAATGCAGGTAGCAGCAGGGGCGGCAGGTAGCTTAGTGGTTAATAAGAGCGTTGTGCCAGTAACCGAAAGGTCGCTGGTTATAATCCCCGAGCCGACTAGGTGAAAAATCTGTTGATGTGCCCATGAGCAAGGCACTTAACCCTAATTGCTCCTGTAAGTCGCTCTGGATAAGAGCGTCTGCTAAATGACTAAAATGTAAATGTAATGCTGGCGAGTTACCGCCGCTCTGATATCCAAAAGTTATTTCCGTCTGTATGTAATAACACCAAAAACGTTCTGGGCTAATGATGTAAGAAATAACACAAACAAAAACTGCAAAGTTGTTTAGGAGCTAGAAGCAGAGCTGCCATGTCTGTTGCTGAGGAGCTGGAAGCAGAGCTGCCATGTCTGTTGCTGAGGAGCTGGAAGCAGAGCTGCCATGTCTGTTGCTGAGGAGCTGGAAGCAGAGCTGCCATGTCTGTTGCTCAGGAGCTGGAAGCAGAGCTGCCATGTCTGTTGCTGAGGAGCTGGAAGCAGAGCTGCCATGTCTGTTGCTCAGGAGCTGGAAGCAGAGCTGCCATGTCTGTTGCTGAGGAGCTGGAAGCAGAGCTGCCATGTCTGTTGCTTAGGAGCTAGAAGCAGAGCTGCCATGTCTGTTGCTGAGGAGCTGGAAGCAGAGCTGCCATGTCTGTTGCTCCGGAACTGGAAGCAGAGCTGCCATGTCTGTTGCTGAGGAGCTGGAAGCAGAGCTGCCATGTCTGTTGCTCAGGAGCTGGAAGCAGAGCTGCCATGTCTGTTGCTGAGGAGCTGGAAGCAGAGCTGCCATGTCTGTTGCTTAGGAGCTGGAAGCAGAGCTGCCATGTCTGTTGCTCAGGAGCTGGAAGCAGAGCTGCCATGTCTGTTGCTGAGGAGCTAGAAGCAGAGCTGCCATGTCTGTTGCTCCGGAGCTGGAAGCAGAGCTGCCATGTCTGTTGCTCCGGAGCTGGAAGCAGAGCTGCCATGTCTGTTGCTGAGGAGCTGGAAGCAGAGCTGCCATGTCTGTTGCTCTGGAGCTGGAAGCAGAGCTGCCATGTCTGTTGCTCCGGAGCTGGAAGCAGAGCTGCCATGTCTGTTGCTCAGGAGCTAGAAGCAGAGCTGCCATGTCTGTTGCTTAGGAGCTGGAAGCAGAGCTGCCATGTCTGTTGCTGAGGAGCTGGAAGCAGAGCTGCCATGTCTGTTGCTGAGGAGCTGGAAGCAGAGCTGCCATGTCTGTTGCTCCGGAGCTGGAAGCAGAGCTGCCATGTCTGTTGCTTAGGAGCTAGAAGCAGAGCTGCCATGTCTGTTGCTGAGGAGCTGGAAGCAGAGCTGCCATGTCTGTTGCTCCGGAGCTGGAAGCAGAGCTGCCATGTCTGTTGCTCAGGAGCTAGAAGCAGAGCTGCCATGTCTGTTGCTTAGGAGCTAGAAGCAGAGCTGCCATGTCTGTTGCTCAGGAGCTAGAAGCAGAGCTGCCATGTCTGTTGCTCCGGAGCTGGAAGCAGAGCTGCCATGTCTGTTGCTTAGGAGCTGGAAGCAGAGCTGCCATGTCTGTCAGCAGCATCTTATTCAATTTATAATTTATGTTATGTAGAAGAAAACTGTTTTTATACATTTTGTATTTTAATGTTTGAATGTCTTTACTGTATTTCAATAACTTTACTATTTATACATGGTTTGGAAAAATCATCATAATGGATCATTTAATTCTTTAAAAAAAAAAATTTTTATTGCCATGTTCATGATGAAATGTTTCTGCATGACAATCATTTGAGTCACATTTTTGGTAATTTATTCAGCATTAAAGGCATCATTGTTGTTGAATAAAAAAAACATACTCTTTGTGTGTTTGTTTGAGAGAGAGAGAGAGAGAGAGAGAGAGAGAGAGAGAGAGAGAGAGAGAGACCGTAAAATAAGTCATTTGGCTCAACCAGTGTTTTTAATGTTAAAAAACAAAATTATTTTGTATAAAAATGCAGAGAAGCTCAGTCTATAAGAGAACAATTCATTTTTGTTAAATTTGATACGGTTTTCAGTTCTCTACCAAAAGTTGCCAGAATGCGGGGTCATCCAATGAAGATCTATTATACTGTAATTCTTTACTTTGATATTGAATACTTGAGACCATGAATATATTCATATTTTACTCTTTGCTTGAAATAATGGTCAGAAAAAATTTTTTCCCCCAAATATTTATGGTCTCCCCGAATTACTTTTTTTAGGAGGTAAATTTAACAGTTGCATAAAAAGTCAAAACGTTCACATTTTTTGGCGACAAACCCCTGAATATGCATAGGTAACACTCAAGGGGACATACATTTAAATTAATGTCATTTTTTTTCACATTTGAAAACCTTATTCGTCATTGACCCATACGGTAAAATAGAGCATATCGCCCAGCCCTAATCTATAATTGTGCATTTCATAGATATCATTTGTTATCTTGGGTTTAAAACATGTTTGCCCCTAAATCCAATCCAGTACACAACATTAATGATATAACTAAATAAACACATTTCATATTAGACTGCCAGCTGAAGGGTAGGACATTAGTTTTCCAACATTGTTTCACAGAAGGAAGGCATGGGGTTTCCCTTCACCACTCCGCCAAGGTCCCGTTGAGATGGGGTCCCCCCTCCTCTGTTCTGATAGGTCCCGTTGTGATGGGGTCCCCCCTCCTCTGTTCTGATGGTAGAACTACAGGTCCCGTTGTGATGGGGTCCCCCCTCCTCTGTTCTGATAGTAGAACTACAGGTCCCGTTGTGATGGGGTCCCCCCTCCTCTGTTCTGATAGTAGAACTACAGGTCCCGTTGTGATGGGGTCCCCCCTCCTCTGTTCTGATGGTAGAACTACAGGTCCCGTTGTGATGGGGTCCCCCCTCCTCTGTTCTGATGGTAGAACTACAGGTCCCGTTGAGATGGGGTCCCCCCTCCTCTGTTCTGATAGGTCCCGTTGTGATGGGGTCCCCCCTCCTCTGTTCTGATAGGTCCCGTTGTGATGGGGTCCCCCCTCCTCTGTTCTGATAGTAGAACTACAGGTCCCGTTGTGATGGGGTCCCCCCTCCTCTGTTCTGATAGTAGAACTACAGGTCCCGTTGTGATGGGGTCCCCCCTCCTCTGTTCTGATAGGTCCCGTTGTGATGGGGTCCCCCCTCCTCTGTTCTGATAGTAGAACTACAGGTCCCGTTGGCCCTTCTGCGTGGCTTAGATCTCTGTCGCCGGGTAGATTTAACCTCCCAGGGCGTGTCCAGTTCTGATTGGCTTTCATCCTGCCGCGGATGTCCATCATCTACACTGTATGACCGTGGCCGTCCCCTGTGTTCATGGTTCTGTTGGGTGAGGTCTCCCATCCTGCTCGCACTCTCAGCCCTTGAGGTCTTGCTGGTTGTTTTCCCTGACAGAGGTCCACATCTATGTTCTCCTAGAAGGTTGTTCTCAGTCCTGCAGTTCCTGTGTAGCCCCATTCACTCTAGTCAATACTCTGCCGTTCTGCTCTCTGGGAGTAGATTGCACTAACGGTCCTTTGATTCTGCAGTCAACCCCTCCACCGTTGTACCTGTTGGTAGGATGTGCTCCATCCCAAGGCTCCAGGCTCTGGTTCCCTGGACTAGGACTACCCCCAGAAGAGCAGCTGGAGCCTGGGCTGACCAAGCCTACAAAGTCCCCCGGTGGAGCTGAAGTGAAGACCCTGGACAGGCTTCCTACGTGGGCGTCCTGGTCTGTCCTCTATCTAAACCACTGGTTCCCTCTCCCAGGCTGTCTGCCCCCTCTCCCAGGCTGTCTGCCCCCTCTCCCAGGCTGTCTGCCCCCTCTCCCAGGCTGTCTGTCCCCTCTCCCAGGCTGTCTGCCCCCTCTCCCAGGCTGTCTGCCCCCTCCTGCTGATCTGGGGAGCCTGGGGGTGGCAGGTTAGCTGGAGGCTGGTCTCTGGAGCCTCTCCTCTCCGCTGCCCGGCCTGGCTCAGTCCCTCTGGAGGCCGGAGGAGCAGCCTGGAAGTCTCCTGCCGCGTGGCCTGGGGCTGGGGCTGGGGCTGGGGCTGGCGGGGTGGGGCCGACGGCCTGGTGGCACATGGGGCAAGTCTCCTGGACGTAGAGCCACTTACGCAGGCAGTTTCCATGGAAGAAATGTCCGCAGTACGTCAGCACGGCTGAGCTCATTTCCTGTAGAAGAGGAAATGTGTGTATTACTCAAATGAACTAACAAGAACTAACTAAACTCAAAACTCTCTCCAAGCTCTCCCAGAAACATCTTTAACCAACTCTCTGAACCAGGGCCGGTCCTGGCCGTTCTGCTGCCCTCGGCAATACAAAAAAAAGACGTCTAAAAGACGTCTTTTCCAGACGTCGAAGTAACGTTATATTTATGTTCTGAATGAAAGTTGAAAATACATATTTTCCGGAAGTTGAAATCAGGTTAATTTTTGGTTTTGAAACAACGTAATTTATAGAACTCTACATTTGGGCCAAATCAAGGCTGGTCCAGACCAGACAAAACCTGAACCAGACATATCAAGGCCGGTCCAGACCAGACAATATCAGAACCAGACATAGACATGGAAGTCGACGTGGAAATCAAGGCTAGTCTGGACAGGACCAACAAAAGACAGCCGGTCTGGACAGGACCAAAAAAAGACAGCCGGTCTGGACAGGACCAACAAAAGACAGCCGGTCTGGACAGGACCAAAAAAAGACAGCCGGTCTGGACAGGACCAAAAAAAGACAGCCGGTCTGGACAGGACCAAAAAAAGACAGCCGGTCTGGACAGGACCAAAAAAAGACGTCTGCATCGGTCGGTGCTTACCGGTGTATAGCCTACCATGTCAGCCCACAATGGAATGTTATGAATGCCCATCCATGTGGTCGACCCACCATTTGTAAAACAGGCAGTTGCATTGACTTCACTAGTCCTGATTCATGTGACTAATCCGTTTGGCTATTTAAGCTCTGAATATCAGCTACCCAACTTTATCAGGAGGAGTTATCCTGAGCCTATTTGCAATAAGAATTAATGTGTTTACACAGCGGGAAATGCAGAAGTATTTGATTTTTTCACTATGATCAGCTTGTCAAAAATGTAGGGATACAAACTTGAAACCACTGATCATAACAGTTTAGCCCACGGGATGAAACTCCTGGACAGCAGTTGTGAGTAGCCTGATTGTGCATTCCATATCGTCCATGTTACTTTGACCGGTCCTGTTTTTAGGATACGTTGTTTGTTAACATGTCAGCACGTTTATTTTTGATTGGGCGCCATTTAGATCAGGCTGTTTGATCATAGAAACCTGCATGATGTAAAAAGTGTCCGTCTCATTACATTTTACATTTTAGTCATTTAGCAGACGCTCTTATCCAGAGCGACTTACAGGAGCAATTAGGGTTAAGTGCCTTGCTCAAGGGCACGTCGACAGATTTTTCACCTAGTCGGCTCTGGGATTAGAACCAGCGACCTTTCGGTTACTGGCACAACGCTCTTAACCGCTAAGCTACCTGCCGCCCAGGGGGGTTATATGTAGGCTAACTCTCCCTAATGTTTAATTTTTTTAATGTGTCTCATTCCATATTCATCCATTTTATCTCCAGTCTGTAGGTGTCAGAAAAGGCCACACTCTTTCTACCATATCCTAAATCCGCTACATGATTTATGTTAGATTCATTTTTGGGGACGGAAATGTTGGTGGAGCGCCGCAGCGATGCGTTTCTCCAACAGCACCCTGGAGAGGCTTACTGGGAATGGACTAGATCAATATTTTGCTTCCCTGGAGAGGCTTACTGGGAATGGACTAGATCAATATTTTGCTTCCCTGGAGAGGCTTACTGGGAATGGACTAGATCAATATTTTGCTTCCCTGGAGAGGCTTACTGGGAATGGACTAGATCAATATTTTGCTTCCCTGGAGAGGCTTACTGGGAATGGACTAGATCAATATTTTGCTTCCCTGGAGAGGCTTACTGGGAATGGACTAGATCAATATTTTGCTTCCCTGGAGAGGCTTACTGGGAATGGACTAGATCAATATTTTGCTTCCCTGGAGAGGCTTACTGGGAATGGACTAGATCAATATTTTGCTTCCCTGGAGAGGCTTACTGGGAATGGACTAGATCAATATTTTGCTTCCCTGGAGAGGCTTACTGGGAATGGACTAGATCAATATTTTGCTTCCCTGGAGAGGCTTACTGGGAATGGACTAGATCAATATTTTGCTTCCCTGGAGAGGCTTACTGGGAATGGACTAGATCAATATTTTGCTTCCCTGGAGAGGCTTACTGGGAATGGACTAGATCAATATTTTGCTTCCCTGGAGAGGCTTACTGGGAATGGACTAGATATATATTTTGCTTCCCTGGAGAGGCTTACTGGGAATGGACTAGATATATATTTTGCTTCCCTGGAGAGGCTTACTGGGAATGGACAAGATCAATATTTTGCTTCCCTGGAGAGGCTTACTGGGAATGGACTAGATCAATATTTTGCTTCCCTGGAGAGGCTTACTGGGAATGGACTAGATCAATATTTTGCTTCCCTGCCTTTGACAAAGTGGGCACTGCTCATCACAGGGCGGCATCAGCGCTCACCTAAAAAGCCCATATGCCACTGGTTGGGAGAAATTGTTATTGTTTTTGGGGCAGAATTATGTGGGGTTTTATGTGTTGTTGGAGGTGCGTCTTGGTCAGTTCAGGTCAGGAAATGCCCCCCTCGTCAATCTGCCACCACAGGCGACCTCCTAAACCTGCCTAACGAGCGGGTCGGCCCTTGCTCTGAAGAGAAAAGTAACGCGGTAACTATTAGTTATAAACCTGGCTTAGAAAATTCTCCTATTTTTTTATGGGGAGAAATCATGCATGATTGATGTTATCATCATTGAGTTCATGGTGCATTTATTGGGGTTATTATGGTAGCCTAAACATATTGACAGAACAGGTTAAACCATTGACCAGTATAGACACCACCCTCTATTATAATAATAATAATAATAATAATAATAATAATAGTAAGCCATTTAGCAGACGCTTTTATCCAAAGCGACTTACAGTCATGCGTGCATACATTTTTGTGTATGGGTGGTCCCGGGGATCGAACCCACTACCTTGGCTCTACCAGCCGAGCTACAGAGGACCACGAGCCACCATGACGCATGAACCTGACTGACCTGGAAGCAGATGGCCCATGACCAGACATGCATAGAGATGTCTTAAATAGCACCCTGTTCCCTTCGTAGTGCACTACTTTTTGACCAGGCTCCATAGGGGATAAGGTACCATACTGTGTTTAATGACTGACCTGGAAGCAGATGGCACAAACGTCGTTGTGTCGCTGCAACTGATTGGCCGTGGCCCGGGGGAGGGAGTTGATCTTCTTGGCTGCTTCCTGTCTAAGCAGGAAGCTCCTCCAGCCGGTCTGGGCTCTGAGCCACACGTTGAAGTAGGAGTGTATAATGATGATGGAGGCCCCCATCCAGCTCCACTCCCCATACAGTGACTCCCAGGTCCCGTAGGCCACCACGCAGAGGGCCACCACGAACTCCAGCACGCGGCTACGGGGGGGACATTTACTTTTAGTCTTTAAGGCTCTTACCAAGTGCCCTTTTCTTAAATAGTAACTAGGACAACAAACCCCATCTCATCAGTCCGTAAAAAGGGCCCAAAAAAGCAGGATCGCAAAGTCACGTGATAACAAAGCAAATGTTTGGACGGAAAGGACGGGCAGGACAGGAACAGGAAGGGGGAGGGGAAGGGGGGCCCAAAAGGAGAGGAGGGGAAGGGGAGGAGAAAGGGGGAAAGGGAAGGGGAAGGGGAAAGGGGGAAAAAAGAGAGGGGAAAGGCGGCCCAAAAGGGGAAAAAGGGAAAAGAAGGGGGGGAAAAAAACCCCCCCAAAGCCCCGGCCTAAAAACAAATCCCCACAGGGTTTTTTCCCCGGGGCGCTAGGCGGGGCCCCTCCTCTCGCCCGGGCTCCTTCCCCAGGGGTTCCTCCAAAAAAGACGGGACCCCCAGGACGGTTCCCCACCCGGGCCAGGACCAGGTTTTCCCCAAAAAAGGAAGGAGAGGAAAGGGAGTACAAGGGGCCCCCCCCCCAAAAACCCCCCCTTTTTCCTCCGGCAGGTTTTCCCCAACAGGCCCCCAAAAAAAAAAGGACAGGGGGCCAAGGGAGGGAGGGGGGGAAGGGAAGGTTAAAAAAAACAGGGGAAGGACCCCGGAGGTTCCTCGGACGCTTTTCCCAAAAAGGACCCGAAGGAGAGGAGAGGAGAAAAAGGGGTGGAAAAAGAGGGAGGAGGGGAAAGGAAGGGGGGGGTAAGGACGGAGAGGGCGGCGGCCCTTTTGGGGGGTTTGGGGGGCCCTCCTCCCCCTTTCCCCCCTTTCCTCCAACCCCCTTCCCCCTTTTTTTTCCCCTTTTTTTTTTTTTCCCCCCGTCCCCCGGCTTTTCCCATTCCTTCCCCCCTAAAAAATTCCTCCTTCCCGGCCCCTTTTTTTTTTAAAGGTTCCCTTTTTTAAGGGAAAGGACAGGGAAAGGGACCTACAGAAGGTATAAGGAATGACCGGGCCTACCGGGGGCAGGACAGGTAACATAAAAAGGGGGGTTCAAAAATACAGGGCGGTGTTCCCCCAAAGGGAAAGGGGACGGACAGGGTTTTCAGGCAGTGGTTTTTCAAACAGGTTTCCTAAGGACAGGGAACAGGACGGTAGGGACAGACAGTTTCAGGAAAGGTGAGTACAGGGGAAAGGGAATCAGGGCGGGGATTCAAGGGAAGGTACCCTTAAAGGAAGGTGGGGGAAGAAAGGGTTTCCCCAAAGGGGATTTAAAACAGTTGGCAGGCCCGGGGTACAGGCAGGAGGTCGGAAGTTTACAGGACAGGTGGTACAACAGGTTCGGACTGTTACAGGAAAGGGCCCTAAGGACAGGTGAGTACAGGAAAGGTACCTACAGGACGGTGATCGGGAACAGGTGCGTACAGCCAGGTGTTCAGGCCAGGATATTACAGGAAGTGAGATAGGACATTTAGTGTACAGGACAGGTATCTTGTGTTACCTGCATTGACCCAATAGATGATCTCGTCCAGGCTGTCTATAGGGTCAGTACAGAACAGCTCACCAATGAAGAGTGAGTAGATCATCAGGGTACCTGTCACCTAGGAGACCAGATGGAACAACAACGTTTATCATTCATTTCTAGACTGAACGTGGTTTCATTCATTTCTTACGGGTAAGAGAACAGAGCCTACTAAGAGCTGAAGACAAAGACATGACTACAGTTATGGGAGTGGGTCTAACCTGCAGAGAGGTGAGCATGCAGCTGGAAACCAGGATGAGGAGCCAGAAGTCCATGTGGAAGAACTGGGAGATTTGATATGCCATGTATCCTGGGAACACCAGCAAGACCAGACACATACTGAGACCTCGGAAGTGTTTCCATAGACTCCTAGAGAGAGAGAGAGAGAGAGAGAGAGACCGAGAGAGACAGAGAGAGACAGAGAGAGAGACAGAGAGAGACAGAGACAGAGAGAGAGACCGAGAGAGACAGAGAGAGACAGAGACAGAGAGAGAGACAAAGACAGAGAGAGACAGAGAGAGAGAGACAGAGACCGAGAGAGACCGAGAGAGACAGAGAGAGAGAGAGAGAGAGAGAGACAGAGAGAGAGACAGAGAGAGAGAGAGAGAGAGAGACAGAGACCGAGAGAGACAGAGAGAGAGAGAGACAGAGAGAGAGACATTTTGCACATCATTATAACACTGTATATACATTTTACATTTTACATCATTTAGCAGACGCTCTTATCCAGAGCGACTTACAGTTAGTGAGTGCATACATTTTTTTCATACTGGCCCCCCGTGGGAATCGGAAGCGCCATGCTCTACCAACTGAGCTACAGGAGGCCATTTGAAACGTTTCTATTCCATTGGAACTTCTGAGTGTAATGTTTACTGTTAATATTTATTGATTACTTCACTTTTGTTTATTATCTATTTCCCTTGCTTTGGCAATGTTAACATATGTTTCCCATGCCAATAAAGCCCTTAAATTGAAAATTGAGAGAGAGAGAGAGAGAGAGAGAGAGCGAGATAGATAATCTGGCTCAAAATGTTCCAATCAGTTATAGAACCAATTAGCTCTATATGGCAGCGAAGTATGGGGTCCGCTCTCTAATACTGAATTTACCAAATGGGACAAACATCCAATCGAAATACTGCAAGCAGAGTTTTGCAAGACTGTATTGCAAGTGCAAAGAAAAACTCAAAATAACGCATGTTGAGCAGAATTGGGCCAATACCCCCTCCTTATTCAAATAGAAAAAAGAGCCATCAAATTTTACAACCATCTAAAAACAAGTGACCCCAAAACATTCCATCACACAGCTCTACTATGTCAAGAGATGAAACAAGAGAAGAGTCCCCTCAGCCAGCTGGTTCTGAGGCTCAGTTCACTAACCAAAACCAACCTCATAGAGCCTCAGGACAGCACTCAGAAAATCTGGCCCAACCAAATCATCACAAAGCAAAAAGAAAAATATATCACCTATTGGAAAGACACCACAAAAAATCAAAGTAAACTTCAATGCTATTTGGCTCTAAACAGACAGTACATGGTGGCAGACTATCTGACCACTGTGACTGATAGAAAACTGAGGAAAACACTGACTAGGTACAGACTCAGTGAGCACAGTCTGGCTATAGAGACCGGTCGTCCACAGGCAAACCTGGCTGCCCAGAGAGGACAGGCTGTGCTCACTCTGCCCCCCGGGAGAGGTAGAGACAGAGCTGCATTTCCTATTACACTGTGACAAATACACAGACCTAAGAGAATCTTTCTTTCCCTAAATTATCATTCAGTACAAAGAATTTGAAACTATCAAATATTTATTGGGTGAAAATACAAAATGTGCAGTTTTGGCAGCCAAATATGTGTCCTCCTGCCACAACCTGAGGGACAGCCAGTGAAAAGTGCAATGTGATGTCAATAATATTTCCTGTTTAGTTTAGTTTTGTCTTTCATACCATGTGTCTTCTCAGTCATGTTGAGACTGGTCTACTACTATTGCTTTAATGTATTGTTATTCTCATTAATATTGTTGTTGTAGTTGCTGTTAATGGTAATCCCATTTCCACTACTACTATTATTATTGCTGTTGGTCCCACCATTTTTGTTATATGTATACTTTGACATGAAAGTAATTTAACTTGCCATGTCAATAAAGTCTATTGAATTGAATTGAGGCCAGCTCAGAGAGAGAGGGACCAGCTCAGAGAGAGAGAGAGAGAGAGAAAGACCAGCTCAGAGAGAGAGAGAGAGAGAGAGCAGCTCAGAGAGAGGAGAGAGAGAGCGAGAGACCAGAGAGAGAGAGAGAGAGAGAGAGAGAGAGAGAGAGAGAAGAGAGAAGAGAGAGAGAGAGACCAGAGACGAGAGAGAGAGAGAGAGTAGAGAGAGAACCAGAGAAAAGAAGACGAAGAGAGAGAAGACCAGAGAGAGAGAGAGAGAGAGAATAGAGATAAGACAAGCCCAGAAGAGAGAGAGACAGATGAGAGAGAGAGCGAAGAACCAGAGATAGAGAGAGAGAGAGCGAGACCAGTATAGAGAGAGAGAGAGATGAGAGAGAGAAGAGAGAGAAGAGAGAGCTAGAGACCAGAATGAGAGAGAGGAGAGATAGACCGCAGAGAGAGAAGAGAGAGAGAGAGAGAGACAAGCCCAGAGAGAGAGAAGATACATAGATAATGAGAGTCGACGAGACCAGAGAGAGAGAGATAGAGAGAGAGAGAGAGAAGAGAGACCAGAGAGAGAGAGAGAGAAGAGAGAGCGAGAGAGAGAGAGAGACCAGCTCAGAGAGAGTGAGAGAGACATCATCACCATAGACTCCTATAGGCACAAAGAGGAGCGAGAGAGGAAGGGCATCACTGGCCATTACCATTAAGGACAGCAGCCCTGACTTGGTATAGCATGGCACTTGCAGGGTTGTGGGTTCGATTCCGACGGGGGACCAGTAGGAAAAGGTATGAAAGATGTATACCCTCACTACTGTAAGTCTGCTAAATGACTGAAACTTCCATTGGACCTGTTGGCTGTGACTAGTTGTGAGTAAATGTGTGTACAACGATACATATGATTTTGCAATTACATCGGTTTTGTGCCAGAACATGTGTGAATGCTCTTAAGCTTGGATGTTGACTGTACCTGTTTCTAGATGCCCCCAGGGCCAGGATGATGGGATTAGACTGTACCTGTTTCTAGATGCCCCCAGGGCCAGGATGATGGGATTAGACTGTACCTGTTTCTAGATGCCCCCAGGGCCCAGGATGATGGGATTAGACTGTACCTGTTTCTAGATGCCCCCAGGGCCAGGATGATGGGATTAGACTGTACCTGTTTCTAGATGCCCCCAGGGCCCAGGATGATGGGATTAGACTGTACCTGTTTCTAGATGCCCCCAGGGCCAGGATGATGGGATTAGACTGTACCTGTTTCTAGATGCCCCCAGGGCCAGGATGATGGGATTAGACTGTACCTGTTTCTAGATGCCCCCAGGGCCAGGATGATGGGATTAGACTGTACCTGTTTCTAGATGCCCCCAGGGCCAGGATGATGGGGTCTGTGATCTCTATCATGGACTGCAGAGTGGAGGTGATGACGACGAAGAGGATGATACTGAGGAGGAAGGTGCGCTGCAGAGCCTGCATGTCTAACAGACCCGTCTGGAGAGCCAGCAGTAGCAACGTTACACCCTCAGCCACACCTCTGGTGGGGACACACACACACACACAGAGACACACACACACACACAGACACACAGAGACACACACACACACACACACAGAGACACACACAGAGACACAGACACACACACAGACACAGAGACACACACACACACAGACACAACAAAGACACACACACACACAGAGGAAACAGACACACAGACACACAGAGACACAGACACACAGACACACACACAGACACACAGACACACAATAATATTTGTAATGATGGTCCTGAGAGACATTCAACCACATAATGAAACAGAGTAAAGTAGTTTTGCTGAATTCTGTATTGAATATTCTTCACCAGTGTCCCAAATGGTACCCTATTCACTAAACACTAAACTGTTTTATGACCAGAGGCAAAAGAGAATAGGGTACCATTTGGAACGCAGCGGTTCTGCTGGTGAAGAATATCCGATACAGATTGAATATGGGCCCCAGTAGAGCACTACATAGGGCATAGGGCATAGGGCATTTGGGCCTCGGTCCTAGACGCCTCCTATGTGTAACCCAACCCCCAGCTCACCTGTGCATCACGTTGTCATTCTGTACTGCAGTGTAACCCCCCAGGTAGAACTTGGTGAAGCTGAGCAGCCCCAGGGCCAGGTAAGACACCACAGACGTCAGGCCCAGCAGGGAGTAGGGCGTGGCACAGCACTCAGAGACACTGAGGAGAGAACACAGACAGACAGACAGACAGACAGACAGACAGACAGACAGACAGACAGACAGACAGACAGACAGACAGACAGACAGACAGACAGACAGACAGACAGACAGACAGACAGACAGACAGACAGACAGACAGACAGACAGACAGACAGACAGACAGACAGACAGACAGGCAGGGAGACAGACGAGGGAGGGAGGGAGGGAGGGAGACACAGACAGACAGAGACAGACAGGGAGACAGACAGACAGACAGGCAGACAGACAGGCAGGGAGTCAGACAGGCAGGGAGACAGACAGACAGAAAGACAGACAGGAAGACAGACAGGAAGACAGACAGGCAGGGAGACAGACAGAAAGACAGACAGGAAGACAGGGAGACAGACAGGAAGACAGACAGACAGGGAGACAGACAGGAAGACAGACAGACAGGGAGACAGACAGACAGGGAGACAGACACATTAAGGTGTAGCTACAAAAACACATACGTTGATCATCTTCTTTATATTGATGTTCTTTATATTGATGTTCTTTATATTGATGTTCTTTATATTGATGTTCTTTATAGACGATGTATCTGCTTGGTTCAGTCTGTACAGTGCCTTCAGAAAGTATTCACACCCCTTGACTTTTTCTACATTTGGTTGTATTCAAATGGATTTAATTGTCATTTTTTGTCAACGATCTACACAAAGTAATAAGTGGACGGAAAATTCTAACCTTTCTAAAAGATTAATGAAAAATAAAACACTATCTCATTTACATAAGTATTCAACCCTGAGTCAATCAATAGATGTTAGAATCACCATTGGCAGCGATTACAGCTGTGAGTCTTTCTGGGTAAGTCTCTAAGAGCTTTCCACACATGGATTGTGCAACATTTGCCCATTATTCTTTTTACAATTCTTCAAGCTCTGTCAAGTTGGTTGTTGATCATTGCTAGACAGCCATTTTCAAGCCGATATAAAAGCTGCAATATGTAACTTTTTGGGCGACGTGACCAAATGCACATAGAAATGTTTTATAGATCTGTCATTGTTATTAAAAGCAGGTCTAAGAAGCGGTAGATCTGTTCTTTGTGCACTATTTCTATGCTTTCCGTTCTTAAGTTTCATTTTCGTGTCTTTTACTTTAGGTTTTGTAAATATATTTCACAGCGGTTTAGTTCAGTACAATGATTCTCTACAGCATATTTGCTTGTTTTGTCACATAAACTGAAATTAGGCAAACTATTCAAATTTTACCAACCAGGAAATGTTGGAGCAATTTCTGCATCTTTAAGACAAAACTGTAACTAGGCCACTCAGGAACATTCAATGTCGTCTTGGTAAGCAACTCCAGTGTAGATTTATTTGGCCTTGTGTTTTAGGTTATTGTCCTGCTGAAAGGTGAATTCATCTCCCAGTGTCTGTTGGAAAATCAGACTAAACCAGGTTTTCCTCTGGGTTTTTGCCTGTGCTCAGTTCTATTCCATTTATTTTTATTCATGCAAGTTCAAGTAGATAGCTAGCTAGCTAACATTGAACATGGTTGGTTAGTTACCTGCAGATTCATGCAGGGTAGTAACGTTATGAGTTGGGCATATGGTTAATTGTTTAGCTAGCTACATGTCTAAACAAAAAGACTCCACTATGGAAGTAACCATTTAAATAGAACGTTCATGATGTCACTGCGACAACTGTCGGTAAATTCCCTCTGGCTATCTACTCCGATGTCAGAGCACTCTCGTCTGAGTGTGCCAGAGCGCAGAATAACTGATTAATTTACCAACGCTCAACACCCGTTGAATATGGCCGGTGTCAGTAAACATTGGCCAAAAAAAACGGCCTAACCAGCTCTGCTAAGGCAAGTAAAATGGTCAGAGTGAGCTGTTCTCTCATTTGTGTCTGGAAGTGGTTAGCAAGCTAGCCAACGTTAGCCAGTTAGCTTGGGTGCTTGACTGCTGTTGTTAGGTCAGAACGCTCGGATCAACCCTACTCCTTGGCTAGAGCGTCCAGTGTGCGCTCTGAAGCTCCGAGAGCGAAACGCTCTGAATTTACAAACGCCCAGAGAGCACTCTGGCACTCCAGATTGAATTTATGAACACACCCGTAGTATAAACCAGCCTTTAGTCTTGGTTGTTTAGTACATGGCCTCAGACGTGAATCCTTAAAGAGATGTGTGGGGCTAAGGCTTTAGAGGGTGTGATCGATGCTGAATGGGTGGAGACAAAGAAGAGCTCTCCAGTAGGTTTACCAAAATATTCAAGGACAATTTTCTCAAAAGTGAGGTTACAAGTTTATCAACTTTCAAAGTAGAATTACTTTCCCATTGTTCCTCAACTGTAGTGTATGATATACAATTTTCTAGCTCTGAGTCTCTACTTTTATCCAATGGAAAAAACACAATTTCAAATGTTGCTACATAAGACCGAATCGAGCCAGTCGGTCACATTTTTACTCCTGAAGTTATTTAGGCTTGCCATAACAAAGGGGTTGAATACTTATTGAAAAACTTCTAAAAACATAATTCCACTTTGACATTATGGGGTATTGTGTGCAGGCCAGTGACAACAAAATCTCAATGTAATCAATTTTAAATTCTGGCTGTAACACAACAAAATGTGGAAAAAAAAGTCAAGGGGTGTGAATACTTTCTGAAGGCAGTGTAGATACCCATACTGGTAACTACAGGAGACTCAATACACATTTCTCCCCAGAATATGAGTGGTTGAGTTAAATGTATCTCTATGGACTGTCCCAGCCATGGTGGTGGAGGTGGAAACAGAAGGTTGCAGCTTTCCCCAAATTCCAAGGTTTTCCAAAAAAAACCAGTTGGAGGATTCCTGGATTTCCTACGTATTGCCTCCTGATTCTGGGAATTTTCCAACCAGGATTTCTGGAAAACCTGGGAATTTTGGGAAAGTTACCTGGAATTTAGCATGTATCTCTCTCTATGGAGTGTACCTTTTGAGGAGGAAGAACAGCACCCCCTCATGGCTGCCTGATGTATTGTTGGCCGTGAAGTTAGAGCACAGCTGGACCACAAACAGCACAGACCAGAACACGCTGAACAGCACTGGCACTGCAAACTGATTCCAGAGGGAGATAGCCACCGCTAGGAGTCGATACAGCTCTACCACCTGAGAGAGACAGACAGAGAGACAGACAGACAGAGAGCGAGAGAGACAGAGAGAGAGACAGAGAGAGAGAGAGAGAGAGAGAGGGAGACGAGAGAGAAGAGAGAGAGAGAGAGAGAGAGAGACAGAGAGACAGAGAGACAGAGACGACAGACAGACAGAGAGAGAGACATAGAGAGACAGAGAGAGAGAGAGAGTAGAGAGAGATAGAGAGAGAGAGAGATAGATAGAGAGAGATAGAGGAGAGAGATAGAGAGAGAGAGAGAGAGAGGAATAGAGATGCGAGAGAGAGAGAGAGAGAGCGAGAGAGAGAGAGAGCGAGAGAGAGAGATAGCAGAGAGAGAAGAGAGAGAGAGAGGAGAGAGAGATAGAGAGAGAGAGAGAGAGTGACAGAGAGAGAGATAGAGAGAGACAGACAGAGAGAGACAGAGAGAGAGAGAGAGAGAGAGAGAGAGAGAGACAGACAGAGACAGACATAGAGAGACAGAGAGAGAGAGAAAGAGATCAATGAGCAAGAGAGAGATCAAATACAAATCTTACAATCAACTATTCAATTACATTGAATGAACTGCAGGACAAAATACAAACCCTCCCACCCAAAAAAGGCCTGTGGGGTTGATGGTATCCTCAATGAAATGATAAAATATACAGACCACAAATTCCAATTGGCTGTACTTCAACTCTTTAACATCATTCTTAGCTCTGACATCTTCCCAAATATTTGAAACCAAGGACTGATCACCCCAATCCACAAAAGTGGAGACAAATTTGACCCCAATAACTACCGTGGGATATGCGTCAACAGCAACCTTGGGAAAATCCTCTGCATTATCATTAACAGCAGACTCAGTGAAAACAACGTACTGAGCAAATGTCAAATTGGCTTTTTACCAAATTACCGTACGACAGACCACGTATTCACCCTGCACACCCTAATTGACAAACAAACAAACCAAAACAAAGTCTTCTCATGCTTTGTTGATTTCAAAGAAAGCTTTTGACTCAATTTGGCATGAGGGTCTGCTATACACATTGATGGAAAGGGGTGTTGGGGGGAAAACATACGACATTATAAAATCCCATGTACACAAACAACAAGTGTGTCGTTAAAATGGGCAAAAAACACACACATCTCTTTCCACAGGGCCGTGGGGTGAGGCAGGGATGCAGCTTAAGCCCCACCCTCTTCAACATATATATCAACGAATTGGCGAGGGCACTAGAACAGTCTGCAGCACCCGGCCTCACCCTACTAGAATCTGAAGTAAAATGTCTACTGTTTGCTGATGATCTGGTGCTTCTGTCACCAACCAAGGAGGGCCTACAGCAGCACCTAGATCTTCTGCACAGATTCTGTCAGATCTGGACCCTGACAGTAAATCTCAGTAAAACAAAAATAATGGTGTTCCAAAAATGGTCCAGTTGCCAGGACCACAAATACAAATTCCATCTAGACACCGTTGCCCTAGAGCACACAAAAAACAATACCTACCTCGGCCTAAACATCAGCGCCACAGGTAACTTCCACAAAGCTGTGAACGATCTGAGAGACAAGGCATAAAAGGGCCTTCTATGCCATCAGAAGGAACATAAAATTCGACAGGATCTGGCTAAAAATACTTGAATCAGTTATAGAACCCTTTGCCCTTTATGGTTGTGAGGTCAGCGGTCCGCTCACCAACCAAGAATTCACAAAATGGGACAGACATCAAATTGAGACTCTGCATGAAGAATTCTGCAAAAATATCCTCAGTGTACAATGTAAAACATCAAATATTGCATGCAGAGCAGAATTAGGCCGATACCCGCTAATTATCAGAATCCAGAAAAGAGCCGTTAAATTCTACAACCACCTAAAAGGAAGCGATTCCCAAACCTT